GGTTTGACGAGGAACAAGTGGAGAAAAAGGAACAAATTGAGAAAAATCGGACTCAAAGTGCTGTAGGGCGCCCGACCGGGCGACCTCTCGCCCGACCGGGCGCGAGAGGAAGTCCGTATACGAGCATACTCGCCCGACCGGGCGCGAGAGATAAGAGGATTTTTGCCCAAAATTCGCCCGACCGGGCGAACAACCGCCCGACCGGGCGCGAGAACAAAGGTCGAAAAAAAAGCTAAGCTCGCCCGACCGGGCGCGAGATCGCGTCAGCAAAACCGGCCAACTTCAAAAAGCCATAACTTTTGCGTTTCTTTACGGAATTTTGCGTGTGACCTGTCATTGGAAAGCTCTTCAAGGCTACTTTCCAATGCAATTAGAATTACTGCATTATCATTTTTATAAAAAAAATTATGATCAAAATAGTGAAGCTGACTTGTTTTTACCTTTTTTCTTACTAACATTTTGTTTCTTTCTTGTCCAGAATTGTAACAAGGTGATGCATCGCAATGCTTGGGATGGTGGAGGTTATGAGTTTGATGATGAGGGGTAGTCGCCTGGGTTACTTTCTTCCCTTTGAGCCAATGAGGACATTGTCTGGTTTGGCTTGGGGGGAATTTCTTGTATATACAAGTACCCTTTCTTCCCCTTTCTCTTTATTTTCTTTGGTGTGTTTAGTTTAGTTTTATTTCTTTCTAGGTTATTTTGTTTTTATTGCTTTAAAAAATAAAAAAAATACAAAAATACGATCCAATGAATGATAAATCATGCTTCCCTATGCCCTATACGTGAAAATTGTTTTGATTCTTGGTATATGATGATGAGTATTGTAGATAGGTTAGCCATGATTTGATGTTTGATTGCTTTGAAATCTTAACATGAGTCAATTTTGCCCAACTGCTTGTGAATATAGTGCTTGACTAGTTGATTTGGTTAGGAATGTGTGTTAGTTCCTGGTATGTCAATGAAGTTGAGTATTGGTTTATAACTTTGAGTAATGTTTGTATGACTCATTATTATGCACAATGAGGAGGACGAAGGCATTTGTTCTTTTAGGTGGCCTTCAGATGTTTTTAGATACATTTGTTCCCTTCTTGCTACCCATGTTGTTGCCTTGACTGTTTATCGTTTATTAACCACATTACAAGCCTATTTTGCCCCATTGGTTACTAGTCCCAAGCTTGGCTTGGAGGAGCTATTAGTGAGTGAGGTGAGGGAGTTTGTAGTGTGCATATTCATTTGCACAGTTTTGGGTGGGCTTGAGAAGTTTTTATTTGTTCTTATTTTTATAGATTGGAATAAATATTGAAAAATTGTTGTTCAAAGTTGAACAAATTTCAAGTGAGATAAAAGAAAAAAAAGAGCAAAAGAAAAAAAATTGTTTCGATGTTCAAGTGTTCTAATGAAGGTTGCTCAAAAGAAAAGAAAGAGAAAAATAAGTTTCAAGAAAAAAAAAACGAGAAAGAAAAAAATTCAAGTTCAAAGTTTGTTTGTTCTCTCAAGTTCTATATTATGATAATTTTATGAGTGAAGTTGTAAGTGTTGGGAAATTTGGTTATGATTGGATTGGATGTTTGGTGAATTTTTGGTAGGGTTGAGTTGTGTTGGTCATTATTTATTTTTGACCTTGGTTTATTTATTAGGATTTTGGCTCCCTTAAGCATGGCTTTACTCTCACATTTTCCCAAATTTATCCTACCTTTTACCCTAGCCTTACGTTACAAGCTTTGAAGACCTTTCGACCTTTGTGCATAGAGTTATATGAATGTGAAATTAGTTGTTTATCAATGCAAAGAATGATTTGATATATTTCGAGTCGACTACTAGGTTGAGTGTATGTCTTTTAAACACACGAGTGAGTGAGTTGGGAGGGCATTGTTCACATTAAAGGGGTTGGTTGGAGAGCGATCAGATACATTTTATATCCGCCGCATAAAGAGTGCAGAGTGTGTGAGCGCTAGTCTTGAATTCCATATACACTTGTGGTTTGCTTTATTTGACGATTGTTAGGGAGGATAAGTAGTTAAATGAATTTGATTGGTTGATCTTGATGCTTATTTGTTGGATTTGCCTTGAATCGATTGTGCTTGGTTTAAATTATTTTTGGGGTGAAGTATTGATTTATTTATTCATTTCTTTGCTTAGGGACAAGCAAAGGTTTGGCTTGGGGGAGTTTGATGTATTCATTTTATATATTATTTTATCCCCGTCCCGTGATCATAGTTAGGAGTATTTTTGGCTCTTTAGAGCCAATTTTATTACTAATATGTGTTTTCTAGTGTTTTCGTAGTTGTGGTATTATTCTACAGGAAACTGCAGATTTGGGAACATTTTCCGGCACTTAGTGGAGCCACCGCGAGCATTGGAGACGAGACGCATTTCTATGATCGTATTCCGAAGCCCAGGACCGTATTTGAGGAATCAATCCGGTGATTAAGGGCTCAATGAGGAGATTTGGAGCTTGGGCAATTCGATACAAGAAGGATGACGAATTGGGCTAAGGTAATAAGGCCCAAAGGACGAAGAAGAGTAAGCCCAAGCATCCGCCCGACCGGGCAGTGCCCTCGCCCTGAGGCGCGCCCGGCCGGGCGAGAGGAGAAGACCATAGGGCGAAGGTTCGCCCGGATGCGCGCCCGACCGGGCGCGAGCAACGCACATTATAGGGCGATGCCTCGCCCGGCCGGGCGATGCCTCGCCCGACCAGGCGCGTGTTCTATTTAGGATTTTTATTTTCGTTTCTCTTTTTCTTTATTGAGGATTTTAGTTTAGTATAAATACGCTTTTGTTAAGTGAGTTTAGGGGCGTCTTTGACACGGACGAATTTTCTTTCTCTCTTCCTTTCTCTCTCCTTCTTACTTTCTCTCTCTATACTTTATCTCTCTACACACTCTTGATTTATAGAATTCATTATTTTCCTTAATTTTGGTAACGATTTCTTCCCTCTTTATTTTCAATAATTTAATTGCTTTGACTTAATTATGCTTTCTTTAATTGCTTTGCTTAGCTTAATATTAAATATGTGTAAGTAGTTTAATTCTAGGGTTGTGGGGATCCATGAATAGTACGAAGGGGTAATTGTTTATTGTTAATGGTTAATGATTGATTAATTTCCTATTGATTGATTTAATGCTATGCAATTAGATTTGCGCAGATTTAATTGTATGAGTTTTGCAATATTGATTCGAGATTCGAGAGATGAGAATTGATGTTTAGGCTTAGTTTCAATAGACATGTTAATCTATTAATGGTTAGGTCGAGATTCGAGAGATGAGATTTAATACCAGTAGATTAATTATGTGATTATAATACGTAGCGACAGCCCTTTATAATCTGGTTAATTTATGCATTGATAATTGATTGTATGTTTTACCCTGGAGTATTATTTATTGGTGAACCTATACCCTAGAGCTCTTTATTATTGATTATTCCTTTGATTTATTTGCTTAGTTTTATTATTAGTTTAATTCACACAAACACAAATTTGGTTACTTAATAGTTTAGATTATAATCGTTGATTAGGAATAAAAGAACACTGTTTCCCTGTGGATTCGACCCTGCTTCCCTATCTGCTTTAGTTAGAGGACTTAGGAATTTCTTTTGATTGGGTGATACGACTAAATCCTGTCAGTATACAGAGGATAGATATATAGAAAAGCAAAAGTATGAAGACAATGCGTAAGTGTAAATACCAGCCAACATCTTTCAGCACTTTACAAAACAAAGACATTGCATCTCCACCAGATGCACGATTTTGTAAGATGATTTCCAGCGCCAACTGGACGTAATACTGCAAAGTTACAAGTAGAATGGTTTTAGTTCCTGTTCTAGACAATAAAAGGACTATTTGCAAAACTCAAATAGAAGCCACAAAATGATAAGCACAAACAATAACAACATTACATCTTTGGGTTTAGGGTACTCAAGATTTTCATTAGTTCCTCCCAAAATAAACCGATTATGCACAACTAAAAAAAAAAAAAAAAAAAATCAGCTGCAGAGGATGATAAATTGGAAAAAAAAAATCATAACTTTCACTTTTTTCACCTTTTGCGACCTGAATTTTTTTTTGTTTACCTTTCAGGACCTATAATGAAATTTCAGCCCACCCCTTAACCACACTAAAACCCACATGAGGCTAGTTGCACAGTTAAAAATATATTTTCATTTATGAAATACAGTAAAAAAAAGGACAACAAATAAAGTTTCCTTTTATTAATAAGAGGAGAGCAATAGATGGATAAAGGACGAAGTAGCTGCTACAATGCTATTGGCAAGTTGGCAACCTTAGTTGCAAGCGACTTGAATCATTACTGACAACCATCGTATGCCAAACAGAAGCAAGCAACAATCATCATGGCACCGACAACCATCACCGACCATTGGCAGCCATTTTACAAACCCAAACCAAGCTTCCTCTCTCCTCATATATATATATATATATATATATATATATATATATATATATATATATACAAACCCAACTCGCCGAAACTCATTGAAAAACGGAAGAAATTTACCGAGAACATATGAAGACCGCTGGAAATTAATGTGTCAAAAGGATCCAAATTCTACATTCAATTTAACTCTACATAAATGGGTTTGTAAAATTGCTACTATCATTATAAAAGTTAAGGTCCCAAACAGTGAAAAATGAAAAAGTTTAATCCCCATTTGTATGCTTAACTCTACATAAATGGATCAAAACTTATTTTGATGTGATGATTAACGATTCAACTTCGATATATGCTTGCTATGAATTGATACATGTTTGTCTTGATATGACGATAAAATTTTATTGCCCCCCACCCTTTTTTTTATAGTCTGCGAGAAGAGGATATATAAAATTTTTAAAAAAAAAAGGGTTCGTTTAATTAAAATTATTAAAATTCCCTACTATTGACCAAAAACCACCATGGTTATATTTATATCATGTCTCATGTATACTGATTGGGTGAGGCGTAAGGGACTGCCTCCGCTGTCAACTACTCTAGTTGCGACTTGAAAAGTAATCATACTTAGTAACAACAAGAAGCATAAACAAACCAGGTTAAGTTGAATTACAACCAGTGATTGCAAATGATCGTCTTTGTTACAAGAGGATAAATCACACTACACAGCCAGTAGGCCACAACTCAGCAATTCAGCTACCCTAATATAACCCCCCAATCCTATTTTGTAATACTCTTATTACAACGGGAATGTGACTTAACACGAACATCGATCCACAATCACAAGGCCATAGCACATCAATTCAACAGCCTAAATGCCATTATGCCGAAAACCAACGGGAATTAACCTTCGGCCTCACTTTTTTCACAGAATCCAAACCTGCGAATAAAATGAAATCATATAACAAACCACACACTTTAGCAAACAAACAGTATGCTAGCCATAAAATACAAGGTAAGTTATGAACTGACCAGCCAGCTTCTTAGCTTCCTCTGGAGTAAGGCGTGCAAAAAAGTGATAGGAGCTATGAAGTGGCCTTATCTGGGATTCAGAGCTGCAACAAAATTTAAACCAGGCCAAAAAAAGGAGAACATCAGAAATAACCTGTATACGCACACACATATATAACTTACTCCATACTTATTACTTGCCTCATTGATAAATTTTACAATGTAAACATTGAGACGAATCTAACAAGATCATACAAGACTACGGTTTTCTATCCATATAAGGCACAATCTTTGTTTGGTCATGTGTGAATAGTGACACATCCACAAACGATGCAAGTAAATAAAGGACGGATGAGGTATGTGGGAGGATAGATGTATAGAAAAGCAAAAGCATGAAGACAATGTGTAAATGGAAATACCAGCCAGCATCTTTCATCACTTTATGAAACAAAGACATTACATCTCCAGCGGATTCACGATTTTGTAAGATGACTTCCAGCTTCAGCAGGACAAAGTACTGCAAAGTTACAAGTACAATGCTTTTAGTTCCTCTTCTAGACAAATAAAAGGACTGTTTGCAAAACTTAAATAGAAGCCACAAAATGATAAGCACAAACAATAACAACATTACATCTTTGGGTTTACGGTACTCAAGATTTTCATTAGTTCCTGCCAATTAAAAAAAAAAAAACCCAATTATGCACAACATTAAAAAAATAAGATCAGCTGCAGGAATAACCAAGGTAAAGGGCAGAAACATTAATGCAGAGGATGATAAACTGGAAAAAAAGATCGTAACAGAGTGAGACTTGCCATCTTGGGGATTAGGGATTTTCTCTTCAAGCTTCATCTTCTTCGCAGCTGAAACCAATCAAATAATCTCGTTAAGCTAAGCGACATAATGGTTGAAAGCTAAGTGACATAATGGTTAATCTTTCTATAAAACATTTATGAAAAAAAAAAGGTATATAGCTCATTCAGTCAACAATCACTAAGCCAGGAAGTAATACACAATTCACGGTTTACATGCACAAAATTGTATAAATACAAGGGGCCATGCCCTTCCCCCAGCCCAAGTATACGAAGTTCCACACCAATCAATCTATAATATGTTAATTGCTAAGGCAATGCATTGCATCCAACAATATAATACTCCGTATATGCTAACGCAATGTATTGCATATGACTCGTGACTGGAGTGATGATTGATGAGAAAGGAGAATCCTAATTATACTGAGATTATTTATATATCATTATATCTTGAAAGTGCAACTATAAGATACTGTAAACAATATGCGACAAATTAAAATTGAGGCATAGCAGATAAATACAATGAAAATTTCCCAGAAAATCAAAATTGCTACTATGATGAATAATTGAATAGCATACAAGGGTATGAAAATGAAAACACATACGAGGAGTGTCTTTGTTGTCCGGGGAAGCCATATTTGGACGTCAGCGGAATAGGAATAACCTGTTCGATGTAAAAAGAGAAAGCAATTCAATCAATTGAATTGATCAACCGTTTTTTACAGAATACTAAGTATGAATTAAATTGCCCTAAAAAGAACATCGATACGTGAAATCTATGATGTGCGAAAAAGATATTACAAACTTATGCAATCAATTGATTGACAAATTACAATATAGATTCGACGATTACCTTTGCGGTTCAATTTGGGGTTTTAGGGTTTGCAAGCAACTTGACAAGAAATCACGAATACTAGCGGAGCAAACAAAATCAACCAAAATAAAAAAATCAATTGGCAAGAAAACACAATCTGAGAAATTATAATACAAATTTACAACAAATTTCGAGAGAAATTTACAAGTAGAAGATAACAAATGCTTTACAAAAACTCAAAACATAATTTCTCAACATAAAATTTGAAAAAAAGGGGAGAAAATAAGGAGGGAGAAGATAAAGCACCTCGGATTTTATGGCAGAATTTGACAATGATTTTTTTGGACAATGCAAAGCAGAATTCGATATGGTGAGATTATGGCTCGAGAGATGGAAGACAAAGAGATAGACTATGAAATTTTTTTCATAGTCCCGTAACTTTTTATAGTGGAATTATAAATATACAAATTTTATAGGGGCATTTTGACGTAATTACTCGAAACTTCATGGGTAATGCAGTCTTTTCCAAAGTTTAAAGTGATAACAATATGAGAGGTAATTTAAATAGTATTAATGACATTGGCTGTAATTATAACAACAAATGAAGGGGTAGATTGTTCTTTTTGCAGATTGATGTATGGGTGATTAAGTGATTTGAGAATTTATATTTGAGTTATTTATGAAAATACCAATATAATTCCTCCTTAGACCACTATTAGCAGTGAGGAGAAAACGAACCCCTCAATCTCTCTCTACCCACTTTCTCACTTTTTCCATCCAATTCCTCTCATGAGAGGTTTTTTTAACTACACCAATGCTCAAAAAAAAAAAAACTCCTCATCACTTTATCCTCCCCTATTTACTATACCCCGCCATAATGCACATCACCATTTTGTTTCTCTTTTTTTCTAATAATGTTTATACTACATATGTAACTTTCCAATACAATTTAAAATATGTAATATTTAATTTTTATAATTACGTTTTGATTATTATAATAATTATTATAAAAAAATTATTTTTTTTTTTTGAAATGTCTTTTTATTCAATTAATTACGGTTAAAATTTCTGAATATACCATTTACAATGTTATTTTTTATTTTACGTTTTAATTAGAATATAAAAACTAAAGCAAACAACAGCAATTATAGATTATACGAAAGATGTTTTTTGTAACTTAAACGATTAATAAGAAGCGCATTTTTTAAATGAACACATAAACGGCAATACAAATACATCGGATATTAAAAAAAGTACGGTCACGAACTTAAAAAAAAGGGGATTGACCTAAAGCAATACACGAACACAAGTATTAAAACCTAAAAACGATACGTTTACAAACTACAAATTTGCTTATTCGGTCGTGTTATGACGAAAGTTCTGCCATATGTGCTCTACTAAATCTTGTTTGAGAGACGAATGAATTTGTCTATCACGAAGGGCAATCCTCCTTTGAAAGTATGCGTTGAAATCAATGTTGGGTGGCCGCCCGATGTTGAATTCAAATGGCTCGTTGTTATTCACCGTGACACTTGTGCTCGGTCCCGGCCGCGCTGCTGTACGTTGTGGTCCATCTTCTTCGTAGTATCGTCTCAAAACATCTGCACGGGTGTAGTTGTGTCGTTCATCCTCGACGATCATGTTGTGCATTATTATACAGGCTTTGATAATGTCACAAAGAATATCTTCGTCGTATGCAAGTGCTGGTTGTCGGAGTATAGCAAACCTGGCTTGTAAAACTCCAAAAGCCCGTTCAACGTCTTTCCGAACTGCTGCTTGTTGATCAGCAAACAACTTGTCTTTTTGAACTTGAGGATGTGTTATACCTTGTATAAAAGTTGGCCATCTCGGGTAAATCCCATCTGCCAAGTAGTAGGCCAACTCATATTGATGTCCGTTAACCCAAAAATTTATTGGTGGTGCACGACCTTGTAAAACATCATCAAACACCGGTGAACGGTAAAGGACATTAAGATCATTACATGAGCCAGGCATTCCAAAGAACGCATGCCAAATCCATAAATCTTGATCAGCAACGACTTCAAGAATGAGGGTTGCAGTTTTGCTACGACCATCATATTGTGCTTTCCAAGCCGTAGGACAATTCTTCCACTCCCAATGCATGCAGTCTATACTACCAACCATGCCTGGAAACCCACGCAATTCATTTTGGTGAAGGATTCTCCTTAGATCTTCATCTGTAGGTTTACGTAGATATTCACTTTCAAAATGTGTAATAACCCCCTGACAGAAATGTTGCAATGCATTCCTTGAGGTTGTTTGACCTATACGAAGATATTCATCCACGACATCGGGGGCTACGCCATACGCTAACATTCTTATTGCAGCGGTGCATTTCTGCAACGGTGATAAACCAAGCTTTCCAGCTGCATTCCGACGTTGTTGGAAGAATTGATCCCCTTCAACCACCTTATTCATAATGCGACAGAACAAAGATCTTTGCATACGAAATCTACGGCGGAATTGGTTGTCGTTATACACTGCATTACTCGCAAAATAATCATTATATAGTTGCACATGCCCTTTTTCTCTTTCCCTATCCCTTTTAGGCTCCGGGACATTTGCTATATCATTATTAAGCTGGAATTCTTGTGGTGAGACTTGGGGAATTAAAATATATGGTAGGTGGTTAGCAGCATAATCATCAACTAACCGATCAAATTCAACGTTATTTGAGAAATCAGAAGAACTAGAGCTTGAGGTGGAGGAAATGAAAGACATGTTTTGGCTATGGTTTAATAGTTGGTTTGTTTGGGATTCTGTCCGTTTAGAATAACACATGCATGTATATATAGTCCAAGTGACTATCAATGCATGTGAGTTGCTCTGATTTTTCATGTTAGTAACTCTGAATTGAAATCCATGTATCATTGCAATATCTGCAATGAAATTGATGTGTCATGCATGTATATAAAGTCCACATGACACTTCAATGCAATCTCTGCAATGAAATTGATGTGTCATTGCACTCTGAATTGCAATTGAAATATTGATGCATGTGATCTATGACACTTCGACAGTTGATTTGACTCTTCAATGATCTATGTCATTATATCATTACTTGTGTTCAGTTGATATGACTCTTCAACATAAAGTTGTGAAGATTTTATTGGGATGTATATTTGTCATTAACCAGTACATGTGATAATTATTCAAAACAAATTTAATAAAGTAAATAATTTACTGCATAATTAATGTTATATAAAAACAAACATCATTTCACATTACTGTAAATAAAAAGGAGTACATCTTAACATTAATTAAAATAAAAAGGACTACATTGAACATTAATTAAATAAAACAGTAGCAAACACATTAAGCTGATTATTATTACATGCTCCTTCTACCATAGAGTAGTGCACGTAATTCTTCCTTGTAAGCCTCTTCATCGGGAGTTAGGTCCGGTCCCTTTGCCATTAGATCTTGCAGCATTTCATAGTTCAGCCTTCTCTCTTGAATTTCGACTTGTTTTTGGTGAAGCTCTACTTGTTTTTGCTTCCTTCTTTCCCTTTCCATGTCGAAATCCAACTTCTTCAATCGCATTTGTGCCTCAATTTCCCTACTTGCATTATTCTGCTGCATTTGCTCAGTAATGTTACAGACATCAAAAGCCACTCCTTTTCCCTTATTACGCCTGGACTTTGCCTTTTTAACGCCATCAGGTCGAGGAAGACCCCCAGAAATGAAACCGGTAACGGGAACAATATCTTCATCTTCAGTTCTACACCGCTTTTCACTTCCACTACTGTCGTCTTCGACAGCATCACCGCAAGCTAATCTTTCCTCTCTTGACAACGCCCATCTCAGTTTTGTCCTCCACTTCGGGTCATTTTTAACCATTTCCCAACCATGGTGACAATTAAAATTATGTGGAGTAGGCTTGGAGGAAATATAGAATAACTTACTCGCATTATGAATTCGGTCTGCTTCGTTGTAACCACTGCCAGCTGCCCTTCCAACTTCGTCATAGCAACTACTCCATTGTATTAAATCAGTTGCCATCCTTCTCCAACGACTTTCCAAACTCCTCAAAGGTCTTGGCGGTAGGATGCGGGGTTTCTCAGAGTGCGCTTGATCATATGCCGCAGATATTTTTCGCCAGAGCGCAGCTGCTTTTTGGTTTGTACCAACAATTGCATCTTCACTGAATTGAAGATACAAACCAATTAGAGCTTCATCCTCCGCAACAGACCACATTCGACTTGCTTTTGGAGATGGTTGGTTTTGATTCACAGACCCTCTTGGAGGATGTGGAGAGTATTGAGGAGTGTCTGGAACAGGTTCTTCCATTTCATCATCAAATTGAGAATTGGTCCCTTGATAAACAAGAGGTGAATGTGGTACATAGGTAGTGTTTTCGAAAGGAGTTTGATGAGGTGTTTGATGTGGTGAATTTTGCAAAGAAGTGTTTCCAAGCCTTTGTAGGAAAAGCTGGAAACGAGGATTAGTGACAAAATCATCACCCAAATCAGAGAAATGATTCGTAAAATCAGGGTTGTTAGGATCCATAAGTTGATAAAGTAGTAAAGTAATAAAGCTTTAAACAATAACTAGTAAGAAATTCAACAATTACTAAAAAAAACAATAACTAAATTATATTTTCGGAAAATGGAAACAGCAACAACAACAACAACAATAATAATAATAATAGCAACAACAATAATAATAACAGCAATAATAATAATAATAATAATAATAATAATAATAATAATAATAATAATAATAATAATAATAATAGTAATAATAATAATAATAATATAATTATTATTATTATTATTATTATAAGTATAATTATTATAACAGTAAATTTTTTTTTTAACAAAACCGTAATTAATAATAATAAGAAGTAGAAGAATTGAGGTTTGGGAAATTAGTGAATATAAGAGATTTTTTGGGTTTTTGAAAGTATATCAAAATATATCAAAATGGATCTCTATTTATAGAGTAAAAAATTTTATGGCCGTTGGTGAATATATTTTTTTTTTTTATATATTTAAAATGGTATTATTTAGCATTGAAAATATATTACCGTTACAAAAAGGGGAATTTTCTGATTGGTTGGATAAACTGCCACAGCCACGTGTCGCTCCCCCATTGGCTGGCCTGACGCGCGTCAGTTGCCAGCCATTTAATTTTTTTTGGCTGAGTTTGCTAATTGTACGACGTCGTTTTGCTGAGTTAGCTAATTGTATGATGCGTTTTGCATCCTTTCTCAACAAATGAAATAAGCTTGCGTGGGAATTTGCGGGTCCCACATGATTACTATTCCTCCTTATTTCTCCTCATCCTTTGAGCGAATTTAATTGTCCTCAGCCATGAGAGGATTTCCTCTCATTGATGTGGTGATCGGTTTTTTTTTTTACACCTTAACTTTTACTTGTGAGGGATTTTTCACTCACTGCCGGTAGTGCTCTTAAGTTTATAT